TATGCTAGACAGTGATTGCCTCATGTATAACATGAAGAAAATTTATACATGCTCTAATATTTTGTATGCCCTAAGTATAAAGGATACTTTATAGTAAGAAATAATCTACATTTTTTTAAGTTTTGCATAAAATACGGTTAAAAAAACACTTTAGATGGTAGAGTGACTCTGTGAAAATAATAGATTACATGTTAGTTAACATGCAGGTAGCAAGGGAAAGGAAATAAATTCTAAGCCTACATGTCTGAAGAGAGGAGACTCTTTCTATTCTAAAATAGTTTGTATATATTTAGCATGAGAACTTTTGCTATAAAGCCACAACGTAAATATTCTGTTGAACCTAAGCTGCTGCTTAGGAAGACAAAGGGTTTCTACTTGCTCACAATCACAGCGCCAGGTTTTAAATAAAAGCAAATTTCAGGCTAAATTCTGCCACATATACTGCCATTTGTAAGTCCGACTCTTATTAATAAGCAGGCACTAAAACACTTATTCAACCTGCTTTTTTTCAGCTTGATAAAGTCCCAATTCTCTGGGTTTTGTGATAAAGCAACCACTTCTTGCATAAAATATTCTCTAGCCCAAAAATATTTTAGAGGTAGGATTCAGTTAACCTAATATTTGAAACAGCCAGCTGGAATATTCTAACCCATAACTGCATTAGAATCCTGCCTTCAGTGACATCCTAAAGGAGGAAAATGCTTTCCTGACTTGACTATCCTATATAAGCAGTGGTGGGAAGTCTAGGATAGTTTATTTACCAATCTGTGTATGTTGAATACAACTACATTAACACACAATTTACAGATATCTTCATTATTCTCATTAAAAAGCCACTAAAGTTACCAGTGAAAATCCTCTTCTAACATTCATTCACAAAGCCTCTGATGTTGATCAGGGACAATAGCTAAAACACTTATCGTTGCCTTTTGTTTAAATGTTATTACCCTTCCTGTGTATAAAGCATTCCCTCTTAGGAAAATTAACCGTCTCTTAAGTGAAATTGAATTAAGACATATATAACTTCCTGTATTATGCTGAAATAGTTTAAAGCATATTTCTAGTGTCATAACACTCAGAAGTATTTACCTCCAATCCAGACCTCTCCTATAAACTTCAGACTCAGCATAAGTGGGCTACTAAACATAATCCATAGCCTCCTAACTGGTTTCCTGTTACTGTCCTTAGCCCCATATAGTCTATTATCAATACCACAAACAGTGGTTCTGGCTCCTTCTGATAGAAATCTAGAACTGCTCACACCAAGGGTCAGATCTTATCATCTTGGTTCATGAAACCCATTAGTGGCTCCTCACCTCACAGAAGTAAGAATGAACATCATGACTGGGTCTTTAAATCCTCTGACCTCTCTGATCCTATCTCCCACTGCCACTTCCTGCTCACAGGAGGGAGTCTCAGTGGCTGCCTTAATATCTCCTCAATCATGTCAGCTATTCACTTCCACCTCAAGGTGGACTGGACATGAGGCTTTCCTCTGCCTGGTTCCTGTTCCTCAGATATATGTATGCCTTGCTCCTTCACCTTTTTCAGGAATTTGTGTTAAAATCACCATATTATTTTCCCATGGCTGCTATAACAAATTATCACAAACTCATCCTCTCACAGTTCTGGAGGGCAGAATGAAATGTTCCACTGGGCCCAAATCAAGGCACTGAGAAGGCCACACTCCTGCTAGAGGTTCTACAGGGAATCTGTACCTTACCTCTCCTAGCTTCCGGTGGAAGGGAGCTGGACTTGTGGCCTCATCCTTCCATTATCTGCCTTCATGGTCACATTGCCTCTTCTTCTCGCCATATAAAATCCTCTCTGCCTTTCTATTATAAAGATACCTGCCATAACATTTAGCACCTACCCAAATAATACCGAATAATCTCATCTCCTGATCCTTAACTACACCATATCAGGAAAGTTTGCCTGTATGTTAACATTTACATGTTCTGAGGATGAACCTGTTTCCTATGGGGAAAATATTTGTCGGTCTACCACAGTCATTTCCTCAGAAAGCCCTTCCCATCTGTCACAAGTAAAATGTCAACCATCCTCTCCCACAGCACTTCCTGTCTTCCTTCTCTGCTTTATTTTTTCTAGGGCATTGATTGCCAGATGGTATTCTACATATCTACTTATTTCTTATATTATTTGGCTTCTTCAACTACAATACGAGTACCATGAAGACAGAGCTGCCATCTTTTCTCTTCATTGCTCTTTCCCTAACACCTTGAACGATAGCTTTCATATAGCAAGCCTGAAATGAGTATTTTTGACTGAATGGGTGGATGGATGAATTAAGGAAGAAAGGGGTTCAAGTATTTTAGTTAAATGGAAAATGTATCTAGTGGATTAAAAGGTGGCTCCTCAAAATGTTTGTCCATGACTGAATCCCCAGAATTAGTGAATATTAACCTATATGGAGAAAGAGTGAATAGTTGTAAAACATGTGATTAAGTTAAAGACCTGAAGAGGAAGAACTTATCCTGGATAATCTGGCTGGGTCCTAAATCAAGCACATGTATCTCTATAAGAAAGATAGGCATAGGTAGAACAGAAAAAGACACACAGAGGAAAAGACACAGAAGAGGAAGCAGTGTGACCATGAATCACTCCAGCAATTAGAGCGATGGGGCTGTAAGTCAAGGCATGCCAGCAGCCACCAGGACCTGGAAGTGGCAAGGAACATAATCCTCCCTGGAGCCTTCAGAAGCTGTGCGGCCCTGACAAAGACATTTTGATTTCAGACTTCTGGTCTCCCAACTGTGAGAGAATAAATTTCCATTATTTTAAGCCACCTAGCTTATGGTAATCTGTTACAGCAGCCCTAGGAAATTAATACAGCGTGGCTGTTCTAAATGGCTTCTAATGATAAGAAGACAGATTATTTTAGGAAAGGCATCCTTATTTCAAATTTATACCTGGAGTTATTATCAGGGCTCCTGTCACCCTATTAAGAGCACAGACTCTGAAGTCAGAAGTCAGATATCCTGTGTTGTAATTATTTTGTTAACTTCTGAGGACCTTGGGGTCCAGTGATCTTTTTGTCTTGGTTTTTGCACCTGTAGAAGAAGAATAAACCAATGTCTGCCCTAATGGTAAGCCTGGAATTAAAATATTTAAGAGTTACAAAGCAGTTAGTAATGTGCCTATACCCAATATGCAGTAAACGTTGTCATTGTTTTGCTATTATTTATATTACAAACATCTAGTTTATTAGAAATATCTTTGCAGTGTGATAACATTTTTGCCCATCAAAAAGTATGAGAACAGAATCTGTTCACAAAGGGGAGGTGGTCTAGGCATTATCACATATTGATGGTAGGAGTAAAACTGTTAACAATTGCAATGGAAGGCAATTGGTGCTATTTATTAAAAGTACAAATTCACTTACACTTGTGAGATAACCTGGTTAGGCATTGTAGCATTGTTTTAATAGCGGAAGACTGACAGCCTAAATTCCAGCAATATAGGCCAAGGTAAACTATGGAACATGCATTAAATGAACTACTGTGAATCAGTTAAAAAATAAGGCAAATATTTCCAGTTCTGGCAATAGAAGAGCAAATTCTTGCTAACTACAGCCCCACTGAGAATAATAGATATACAACTCGTGTGTGTGTGTGTGCATGCGCGTGTGTGTTGTGTGTTTGAATAAAGGGCCACAGCACTGGAGAGAAGGAAAGCTCATGGAAGTAAGCCAGACATTCTGTGCAGCTTTTCTCCTCAAAGACTGACAATTTGGAAGTGGCATAGAACCAAGAGGCTAAATAGCTAGCAGTAAACAGCAGCTAAGAAGCTGAGTTGAACTTTTTAAAGTCTTACGGGATTGGAGAGATAAAATTTTAAACATAATGAATAGAAAGATAGTCAGGAGCTCTGAAGTCATGATATTGGAGGGAAGGAAAAGATAGAAGTGAGCCCAACAGTTGGTCCTGCTCCTTTCCTTAAAACATTGCTCAGGTTGCCAATTATAGATCTGATAAGGAGTTTGCATGCAGAATATATCGAGACTCCTACAACTTAACAACATATAAACAACTAAATTTAAAAATTGGCAAAGTACTTAAATAGTTCATCAAGGAACATCAACAAATGGCCAATAAACAAAAGAAAAGTTTTTCAACATCATTAGTCATCAGGGAAATGAAAGTCCAAACCATAACGAGGCATTTCATACCCACTTGGATGGCTACAATAAAAAATGATGAATAATAACAAGTAATGGCAGGAATTTGGGGAAACTGAAGTCTTCATATGTTGCTGGCAGTACATTGATGCAACTGCTGTGGAAAACAGTTTAGTGTCCACTCAAAAAATTAAACATAAAATTACCATACAACCCAGTAATTCCATGCCTAGGTGTATACTCAAATGAATTAAGAGCAGGGACTAAACAGATACTTGTACACAAATGTTCGCTGTAGCGTTATTCACGTAGCCAAAAGTTGGAAATAACTTATGTCCATCAATAAATAAAAGGATAAAGAAAATGTGGTAAGTACATTCGATGGAATATTAGCCATAAAAAGAATAAAATTCTACTACCTGCTACAGCATGGATAAACCTTGACAACATTATGCTAAGTGAAATAAGCCCAGGCAATGAAAATACACATATTGTTTGATTTCACTAATATGAAATTATCTATAAGCAGCTAATTCATAGACACATATAGATTAGAGGTTACTAGAAGCTAGAGGGAGAGAGAATAGAAAATTATTGCTTAATGGATATTGAGTTTCTGTTTGAATGATATAAATACTTTGAAAATAGATAATGTGATAGTTGTACAACATTGTGCATATAAACTAATGTCATTTAATTGTACACCATGGGCTTCTGGGTTGAGGTGGGCACTGTAGGGGCCCAGACGGCTGTCTGAAGTTTTGCTGAAAAAAAATCAACTCATAAAAGGCATATTAGGCTCCCTTCCTAAATCTTCTGGCTGTGGCATTGGTGGGAAAAGTGTGGCTGGGTCTCCAAGGAGCTGCACCAATGGCCTCCATGCTCTCCTATGAAAGCCTAAACCACGCCGTGGCTGGAGCAGTGGGAAGCATGACAGCAATGACAGTGTTTTTTCCCCTGGATACAGCTAGACTTCGACTTCAGGTTGTTGAGAGAGAAAATCCAAAATTACACACATGGTGCTTCTGGAGATCATTAAAAAGAAGGACTCCTGGCACTATATTGAGGGTGGTTTCCAGCAATTTCCAGTTTCTACACTTTTAATAGCCTCAAAGCAGTCTGGGTCAAAGGTCAACGTTCTACTACTGGTAAAGATCTGGTAGTTGGGTTTGTTGCAGGGGTGGTTAACACGTGGCTGACAACTCCACTCTGGGTGGTAAACACCAGAATAAAGCTGCGAGGGGCAAAATTTAGTACTGAAGATTGTACCAACAAACTACAAAGGTATCATTGAAGCTTTTTATCAGATCATTCGAGGCGAAGAAATCTTGGCTTATTGGAATGGCACATTTTCCTCATTGCTGTTGATCTTCAATCCTGCCATCCAGTTCATGTTTTATGAAGGTTTTAAACGGCAGCTTTAAAAGAAATGGATGAAGCTTTCTTCTTTGGATGTGTTCATCACTGGTGCAGTAGCCACCGCAATTGCCACCATCACCTATCCCATGCAGACGATATAGTCAACTCTGAGGTTTTGGCATCATAGACCAAACCCAGAAAACAGAACACTGGGAAGTCTTCAGAATGTTCTCTATCTTCTTCACCAATGAGTAAGATGTTTTGGAATAATGAGACTCTACTACAAAGGCCTTGAAGCCAAATTGCTGCAGACAGTCCTCACCGCTGCTTTCAGGTTCCATGTTTATGAGAAACTGAAGCTGCCACCTTCATAGTTATGGAGCTGAAGAGTGCACACAAACACAGAGACGCCTTCGCATGAAAAATTTCGAAGATGCTCAACAGGGAGATTTCCTCCTGAGTGAAGTGATTCTCCTTTGACTCTGGCTCCTGCCACAGCAAATGTTATTCTCATTGGCTTGAAAAGCATTCAAGGGTGAACACGGAGTGTGGCCAACTGGACCTGCTGTCACCTTAATTATTATGCTGGCTGGTTGGATTTTGGGCTGGCAGTTGGACTAATATGAAAAAAAAATTGTTGAAAATCTATAAATGAAAGTTTGTGTTTATTGGTTTTCTTAAGAGAAATGGACTCTTTTGCTCTCGTGTGTAATCTTTTCTATTTCAATTTTTCTTAAATATACCAGCTGTTCTCTTTCCCTGAACTCTCCCCCAGGTTCTAGGACAAATTGAATAACATGTAATTCTCCTCAAATACTTTCGTATGTCTCAGTGTTGGTATTTTCCTCCCTGAAACTAATATTACGGCTATGCCATGGGCTTGACATTATTTCGGTAGGGCTTTTTTTCTCCTGCTTAAGGAGAGGTATCTTTTAGGATATGAGCTATTTATTTTGCAAAAAGAAAACTGTTAATCACAAATGATTTTCTTAAAAATATTTGTAAATGTCACTTATTCATTAGTGCTTGACATATTTTTTTAAATATTTATTTTGAATCAGTCCTTTCATTACAAAAGCCCTGAGGTTTTATGTCCATCCATACAAGCCCTGGTCAGTCAGTCAAGTCCCAGTAAATGATCAGTACAAAAAAGAAAAAAAAGGCATATTAAGTGGTGAAAAGATAACACATTTATTTAACACTGATACATGAGAACCTTCAGAATGAAGACCCAAATATAAAAGATGTCCATTTTCATGCTTAGGTTCAAAAAAGTATGGACAGCTATGTAAAAATACGATTAAACAAAAAGGACACAATCTCATACAAATAGATGGAGTGGGGAAACTCAGCAAGGCCAGTCTGTCTAGATTCCTGTCGGGCTCTCTGAGCATCATTTTTTCCCTCTGGGTTTTGGTGGGACCTTTTCTGGAATGAGGGTCTCAGAACCTACAAATAACTAGGTCAGATAATTTTTTTTTTTTTTTTTTTTTTTTGAGATGAAGTCTTAGACTATTGCCCTGGCTGAAGTGCAGTGGCACGATCTCAGCTCACTGCACCTCAGCCTCCTGGGTGCAAGCGATTCTCTTGCCCCAGCCTACCAAGTAGCTGGGATTACAGGTACCCACCACCACACTCAGCTAATTTTATATATATATATATATATATATTTTTAGTAGAGACGGGGTTTCACTATAATGGCCATGCTGGTCTGAAACTTCTGATCTCATGATCCACCCACCTCAGCCTCCCAAAGTGCTGGGATTGCAGGCGTGGGCCATCGGTAGGCCCAGATAATTTCTTTATGGCCAGTTTTCACACAGAAAAGCAGAAGGAAAGTTAAAGTAATATTTTTATGTTTTATGGCTGGCTTTAGGGAAAAGGGATTCCGGTTTCTGTGACAATTCTTGGGGAAAAGGAATTCTAGTTCCTATGGTTAGCCTTGTAGGAGAATGGAATGAGGGGCAGGAGAGCAAGAGAAGGTTAGAGAAAAACTTTTGCTTCTGAGGCTACTGCTGACACCACCATTTAGGGGTATTATTTTCTGAGCTCTAGAGGCACCATAATTTTTACTGTTATTCCCACATTTTCACACCACACATTATACATATTTAGCACTCAAAATATATTAAATAAATATTTGACTGCCCACCCTCTTCCCATTGTCCTTCCCTTCCCTGGCCTGCCATATTTTCTTTCTCTTGACATCTTTTAATTTAAAAGTTCAAGAACAAAAGGCTGTTCTTGGCATGCAGCAAAAATATTTTAAGAAAATTTCTAATTTAAATTTAAATGAACAGTCTATTACAGAACATGTGTAAATTAAACATAAATATTGTTGAGAAATATAATTAAAAACAAAGCCTTTTTCCAACCCAGAAATCCTCTCCTTAAAAGTAGTAGTGGGGGGGGCACTTTTATTATCGATAAGCACTAAGCCAGACTGTGATGTACATCGCCATCAATCCACAAAGAGACTGCAAACACAGAAATCTCACACTTTCATGTAGACAAGTAGATGCAACCTCTTACATACATGTTTTCAAGATAAACAATGACTAGTCCTTGAGAAGAACATTTGTCACACATAATTCATCCTCACTTTACCTGATAATTGAGGTGACCATCTGTGTTAGCTAATTAGCTGTATCCAGAGGAAAAATAAATTCTTCATCTCTGTATGAGAGGAGGTAGTTTTGCAACCTGCCAACCGAAGGAGGTAGTTTTGCAAGCCGCCAGCTCCTACCCTAACCACAGAAACCGAGATGGGGCGCTGTCTCCCTTGATGTTTGCATTTCAAAGAAATCGCTCCCAGGTTCTTGAGAAAGACATTCCTGGGTACTGGAGGTGACAAAAGGCCTATCCAGTCTTCAGAAAGGATTTATATACATTTCAAAGAGACAAGAAAGTATTTAAGATATTCTAAGCTAAGTGCTCTAAGAAAAAGGAGGGGAGGGAAAGCTCTTTCCTCATTTTTAACAGAGAGAACTAAGCCTCTTACTTTTAATTTTCATTTTTTTTCTTATAATAGCAAATATAGCTTAAATTTAATTAATCTCACTGTGAAATTTTGGTACATTTCATTCCAGTCATTGATATATGTGTGTGTGTGTGTCAACTTACATACCCATTTTATTATTTATTTATTTAATATTCTTTATTACTCATATGTTTCCTCAGGTATTCAGATCTTTCTGTAAATTGTAATGTTAATGGTTACCTCTGATCTGTGAAAAGAATAAAAAACAAACAAAATGATTCATAAATGACCAAAATCTTAGTTTACTTTTAGAAAATATATATGTGTGTGTGCATATATATATACGAGATGGAGTGTTGCTGTGTCACACAGGCTGAAATGCAGTGGCACAATCTCAGTTCACTGAAACTTCCACCTCCTGGATTCAAGCAATTCTCCTGCCTCAGCGTCTCAAGTAGCTGTGATTACAGGTGTCTGCCATCATGCCCAGCTAATTTTTTTTTACTTTTAGTAGAGACATGGTTTCACCGTGTTGAGGCTGATCTCTATCTCCTGACCTCAAGTGATCTGTCCACTTCAGCCTCCCACAGTGCTGGGATTACAGGTGTGGACCATCATGCCCAGCCAGGAGAGAGAGAGAGAAAGAGACAGATAGAGAAAGAGAGAGAGAGAGAGAGATTGATTTTAATTTTTCTACAGCTGGAAACTCAAACCTGCAGAATTTCAGTGTGATGCTTGAGGTGAGCAACACAACTAGTTTGCTGTGAACTGTATTTTGTGTATTGATTCCTTTAAGAAATATTTATTCTTAGGCTGAGCACAGTGGCTCACACCTGTAATCCCAGCACTTTGGAAGGCCGAGGCGGGTGGATCATGAGGTCAGGAGTTCAAGACCAGCCTGGCCAACATGGTGAAACCCTGTCTTTACTAAAAATACAAAAATTAGCTGGGTGTGGTAGCACATATCTGTAGCCCCAGCTACTCAGGAGGCTGAGGCAGGAGAATTGCTTGAACCAGGAGGCAGAGGTTGCAGTGAGCCAAGATCATGCCACTGCACTCTGGCCTGGGCAACAGAGTGAGAATCTCCCTCAAAAAATTAATAAAAGAGAAATATTTATTATTTAAGGAGCTTTCAAACTACCCAGGAAAAGAATGTAGCACAATGAATTGTTATGTATTATTCAACAGACAATAGACATTGTGTTAGTCTATTCTCACAATGCTATAAAGACATATCCGAGAATCAAGGTTTAATTGACTCACAGTTCCGCATGGCTGGGAAGGCCTAAGGAAACTTAACAATCATGGTGGAAGGGGAAGCAGGCATCTGTTACATGGCAGCAGGTAAGGGAGAATATGCGTGAGAGCACAGAAAAAAACTACCATTTACAAAACCATCAGATCTTCTGAGAACTCACTATAATGAGAACAGCATGGGGGAAACTGCCCCCATAATCTAATCACTTCCCTCCCTCCACACATGAGGATTACAGGTCCCTCACTTCACACATGGGAATTACAATTCCAAATGAGGTTTGGGTGAGGACACAGAACCAAACCATATCAATAAGCAATATGCTTACTACATAAGAAATACGTTACAGGGAGAGAGGTGGGAGTGGTTAAGTTGGCCTGGAAAGTTCAGGAAGAACTCCAAAGAGGTTAAAAGTACAGTCCAGGCAGAGGGAGGAGCCTGAGCAGAGGAAAAGACTTATGGGAAGGTCTGGCATATTTAAGCAATGGATTGTGAATTCCAGTGGGGTTTATCAGATTTGCCTAGGGAGTTTATTGAAAATATGGATCCTGAGACTCTATATGGGCGTTCTGAAAATTTTTTACATTAATGCCCACCCAGTTTGATTTTAATGGCCATCTGAGTTTGTGAATCATTGCTTTAGGGCTTGTGTTTGGAACCCAGAGCTGATGAGAAGTGGGAGAGACCAGCAGAAGCTAGATAATGAATAGCTTTGTGGGTTGTGCCCAGAGAGGCTGAATTTTATCCTGAGAGGTTTTGGCCAAGATTTGTCATTAATTTCCACCTAGGCTGGGCATTAAAAGCCTGAGGCTATGAGAGGAAGAAATAAAGTAAAAGAAGAAACAAGTCAGGATTGAAAAGTGCCTGTTAATTTAGGCTCTCCTCCTTCCCCGCCAGCTAGGTGGCAAGCTGTTTCTGCTATTTTAACTGTTTTCTGTCCTGGCAAGGACAAAGCATAACTTATTAGAAAAGATTTTTCCAAGGAAAGCATTTTGCTTCCAGCTGTGAATCTGCCTGCTGTTCTCAGAGTCAAAAAGAAGCCTCTGCTAGTAGATATGGTTGCTGTTCAAAGAAGAAAGTTAAAGTCTATGTTTTGGAAAGTCTGGGGGAAGAACACCTTTCTTCTCCCAATCTCTGGAATACATTATGTGTAAGCAGAAAAGTATGTTGTGTAAGTGAGGTGCTCAGGAGGGGCAAGCTCACCTCCCACCTTTCACATGTCAATTATGGCAGAGATTAAGGCATCTATCACATATAAAAGCACAATATACATTTTAAAACTTACAAGAAGGAAGGCAGTGACATTCCAATACCTGTTGAGAAGGCTTAAGTTTTCCTGAAATAACGTCATGAGCTAAGATGGCATTAGAACCTGCCAAAGCAACAGCTGTTACCTAGGACTGCTTATTACTTGGCTTCTCAGCCTCAGCATTACTGACGTTCTGGACCGGACAATTTTTTTTTTTATTGTAGGGATTGGCCTGTGTATTATAGGATGTCCATCAGCAGATGTTAAGTTGGGAGTCCATCAGGATGTCCTTGGACTCTATCTGATAGATGCTTGTAGTACTTTTTACTG